GTTTCTGGTTTTCGTCCCTCTTTCAAAGTAAGGTACAGTTTGGTCCTCATTCTTTTCGAAAACGTTCGTTTTATTAAAACGAACGTTTCGAAAAGAATAAGGACCAAACTGTACCTTACTTTGAAAGAGGGACGAAAACCAGAAACGGCCAATAGTTTAGGGACTAAAAACATATTTAACCCATATATTTTTAAAGTAAATAATTATGTTACTAATTTTAAACTTAAATGAATTTTTTAAGTTTAATTATTTTTTCATGTTAACCAATTTTAAAATTTTATTAGTTTTTTAACTAAAAAATGACCTAAAAATATATAAAAGTCATTTAGAATAAAATTATTAAATTATTTATGATTAATTTTATAGAGATAATAATAATAATAATCTATAACAATATATAAAGTTGATAAAAAAAATGTGGCATACAAATCTCTATTTCAAATTTTATCCTTGCTAGTTACTGTTTTAGTATTATTTTTATATTCAAATTTTAAAAATGTATAATATTAAAACTGAATCTTATAATCTTTTCTTTAAGTTAATTAATATTTTGTATATTAGACGTGTAAGAATCCGGCGAATAGATAGGTGTATGCAAATAATGGGATCGAGTAATTTAATATTAAAATAATACTACTATATAAATTGAAGATTCAAAAGTTTTGTCTCATTTTCGGATAGAGCTATCTCTCTCCAAAACTCCTAATATCTTCTTTCTTCTTCTTTTCTCTAGAATTTATTCATCTAAGTTTATCTTTTCAACAATATGGTTGTACCTAAGCAATCCTGGTGTTTAGAGCTTCCCTTTCCACCGATCAATTTTGTGGTTAGAGCTGGTAAGTTTCGATCTCCTTGATTTATGTTGGTTTCTTCAAATTCTGGCACATGCTAGAACATCTCTATTTGCATGCGTTCAGCAGCCTTCCTTTCCTCTTTCTAACTTCATTTTGGTTCTTTGGGTGGTCTCGTATCACTAATCGGTAATCTATAGGTATTCTTATAAGGTTATGGTGTTGAGAGCAAAATTTTTGAAGTTGTTGAGTTGTTCGGTTTCGGCTAAAGGTAAGGGAAGCTAGTTAATTTAATTGGTTGACGTGTTGTGGAACTGTACTGTTGTATAATGTTGTTTGGAAGTTTGCTTGGGTATGTAATTGAGTGAATGTGTGAA